GGGGTTCAGGGGGAGGGGGAGGGGGCTCTGATGAAGATGAGGTAATTTCCAAGTTGTGCTCCCATGTCTCTTGCGTCTACGGAAGCCGCGCGAGACAGTTGGTTGCCGCCTCCTCACTTTACGGTGTCCGCTCCTCCGCCGTGCTAAGGAAGAACGCCGTATGAACCTCCAAGCGTTGCCAAATTTATTTTGATGAAACACGAATTTTCCGGTAAACTTATGAATATTATCCTTCCAATTTTTCAGATAATTCCGTTCGCGATTTCACCTGAAGTTCCTGAAATTTTCAAACAAAAATACTCATATCTCCACTCAAAAATAAATATTTTATCGAAGGAAATTTGGCAACTCTCGAATGTTCTTGTGGCGTTCTTCCGTAGCAGGGCAGTCCTCTTATCGAAATTTCGACATCGGCATCGTCACTCCCAAGTAAACGACGATTTTCAAACTTTGATCTGGAGGTCAAGCATGAATGAGGCAGGGATCTTTGTATCAGATCATTTATTTTCTTGTTAAATTTCGCCGTAACTGGATCCAGGTGGGGGGCGGGTAGAGAGCCCCCCCCCCAGTTCGCCCGAAGAAAAAGAGGAATCAAATGAGAGGGAAGATAAAAGGGAGGAACGGAGGGAATAAAAAGGAAAGACGCTTACATTTGGTAATTATTCATGACGAAATTGACTCAAACTGCATATTAGATGCTTCAAAAATTCAAAAATTATGGAAGGGAGGCCCTCGGTCCCTCCTCACGCACGCCCTCCCCCACCCCCCTCCGCCTGTGGCGAGCATGGGTAAACCTACACAAGAAACAAGCGGGAAAGCTCTGATTCGTCCGTATGAGAAAAGCGCTCACCTGTTTTCTATGTAGGCGCGTTTTTAAGTTCCCCGAAGAAGACTGAGATGAAAGAACTCGCTCACCAAAATTTCAACCTTCAATTTTGAGAAAACTACACTGCTGCTAAAAAAAATTAACTCAAAAACGATTATCGTCCTCCGTGATCTGACATCAGAAGCATAAATGGTGGTATCCTATATTAATCTATTCTAAATATTTTGGCCCCTCTATGCTGCGCCATCTTGTTGCTCGCTGGTGCGCGATTTGAACGCATCGTCACGACTTCGAATTGTAGAGGGAATGTACCGTCTTATTTCGAATTATAGAGGGATGGCCATATTTACTTCCCACACTTCGAATTACAGAGAGAATTTTCGTAGCAATTTCGAATTATAGAGGGCCGCGCCAGCTTAAAAATTTCGAAATAACGAGGGGAGAAAAATACATTGATTTTCTTCGAATTATCGAGAGATTTTCAAGGGAGACAGACTTTCCTTCGAATTAACGAGTTTTTCAAATTATCGAAGTTCGAAATATCGAGAGTCCACTGTACTAGAATTCTTGAGGCAGGTTGAAATCAAAAAGCGCTCCCTATCGACTGAGCGCTTAAAAGTAACCGGCATTTTCAGTGGCGTGGCGTGCTTTGCGATATATCGATTGATACGCCACTCAAATCTATGAAAAAAGATCGATTATCAGGGTGTTTGCAGCGAACACTTTAGTAATCGATTCTTTACCACAGCTTCAAATGGCAAGATATCGATAATCGATTATTCACGCCACGCCACTGGGCATTTTGTGTTATACCGCGGAGTCACACGCTGAATTTGGCAGATGAATATGGGAGTCAACAGTCATCGCTCAAACAGCTGAAATTTCGTAAATTCGAGTTATTTGCATCCAGATTTGTGTCAATTTCATTCGAATATTTCACACAAACTGATAACTGCTCTGCCGTGTTAAGGAAAAACGCCGTATGAACCTCCAGGCGTTGCCAAATTTCCTCTGATATAATACGAATATATTGGGAAAATTGTAAATATTTTTCTTCCAGTTTTTCAAACCATTTTCTTCGGAATTTAATCTAATATATCTGAAAATTTTAAGGTAAAATATACATCGATTTCGTCAAAAATCGTTCAAGTCACATTAAGCTCTCATATGTTCAGCGTGTGATTTCGGCTTTAATATGGGAAGCGGGAACACAAAGTAACCTGAGCACGTGGTAAATATGTTTTGGTTAGTATTTCTTCGGGTTACATCAGAGACAAGAGACCCTCCATTGCTATCGGAGCAATGATGGAGGCTTTGAAAAGAAGCTAGTTGAAAACTTGGGACTCACGCCACAAAAGTGCCAGGGTCGGGAAGGAGTCGAAACATCCAAAATACAGCGTTAAGTATTTTTTCAACAGCCCCTGATGTAAAAAATTACTTGTCTAACTTTTCTAGCCTTGCGTTTAAATCTTTAGAGAGGAGATAATAATGTGTATCACCATGTTATGTGTGCACATACAACATGCCTACCTTTAATCGAAAAATCCGAAATTTGACATTACTTTCCTATGAACAGCCCATACCTATAAAAATACTTGTGTTCTTCTGTTACTTTTGATTAATATAGGAAGTGAAACACCAACCTACTGTTCTGTGTTGATTTTTATACAGGCTGTGGTGAATTTAGCGCAGAAAACAATGGAGAGACTGAGAAAACGAATTCCTTCGATTGTGCAACGTTGGTATTATCACCACTCGTTCTTTTATTACATTTCTTCAAGAAAACTAGCCGGTATTTTCTATTAAACCTGTAAACCGAGGGCAAGGGTTATTTTGTGTTTTACTTCCCGTATTAACCAAACCTTTGTGTTGAAATTTCTCCCTGTGCTTTAAAAAAATGTTTCTTGGAAATTTTTCTTGGCTTTTGTTCTATTTCTTTTATTTCTTTCATAACTTTTCTAGCCCTGCGTTTAAGTCTCCAGAGAGGTGCCAGTAATATGTATCACTGTAGTTGTGTATACAACAAGCCTACTCTCGGTCAAAAAATCCGAAATTTACCCGTACATATGTAATGAACGGCCCCTCCCGACAAAAATCACTTGTCTACCTTTTCAAGTCCAGCGTTTAAGTCTCCGGAGACGTGCTAACGCACTGTGTAGCATTTTACTTCTATGATGAATCTTATTTCTCGCTGTTAAGTTGATTCGATGGACGCCATATTTTGTGTCAAAACGACATGCGATGCATCACATCGATTGGTTCCATTTTTTCAGCAACTCGTCATTCTCATCGAATTTTGAGATCGCGATTCTGTTGTCAGGAAACTAAAGAATTCACCTACCAATTATGACGAACAAATTGAACGTACAGGTGTGGTTTTTTCAGAGGAAAAATATCGTATTCGAGTGCAGTTTCGATATCAGTATGAACATTCGAGAGTTGCCAAATTTTCTTCAATAAAATGTTTATTTTTGAGGAAAGTTTTGAAAAATTTTCCTGGAAATTTTCAAGAGCTGTAGGTAAAATTGCGAACAAAATTATCGGAAAAATTGGAAGGAAAATATTCACAAGTTTACCAGGAGATTCGTGTTTCATGTGCGGAAATTTGGCAACGCCTAAAGGTTCATACGGCGTTCTTCCTTAGCATGGCAGTATAACTGTCCATAACTAAATTAAGGCCTCTGACAGCAAAGACCCACACTATTAAAACTCTGATCTTTGAATTCCCCGTCCTCACTTCTGCCCATCGATCGTCTTACACCCCTTCCTCTCCCTGTCCATCGAGCGTCTTAAAAATGATTTCACTAGAATAGAGAGGATTTCACAACAATTAAAACTTTATTGGAGGAAATTTGACAACATTTGAGGGCTATTTTGGCGTTCTTCCTTAGCATGGCAGTATAGGGGCTGGAAGAAACCGAGCTCATCTTACATGTTCAATATAATATAACCTAGAAAATGGCACATTGAGGGCACGCGGCGTCGATCCCCATAGGGTTGAGTCACGTAGCGAGTAGAGGCGTCCCCTCTAATTGCTGATACATTTGTTTAGATCTAGCCTTGCATTTTGACGGTTTAAGCGCCGCCGTAAATGTAGCGGTTATCATGCCATTGACGTGATGATGACCAAGACGCAAGGTTCCGTCAGCATTGCATTGTCTACCGCGGTGTCACTCGCTGAATGTACATTGCCAAATTACAGGTAATGTTCAGCATTGTCTGTCGGCGAGTAGCCCATCGGCGAGTCTGTGCCATAATCGATTGAGCAACTGCGGGTAATGAGACGCAATGTCTACGCGCCCCATCCATTCCTGCGTCAATCTGATCGGTGCTCTAATTTCACCCCAAAGTTTCGGAGGCGCTTGGCTAGCATGAACTGGATACAATTTCTCAGTAGGCATGATTAAATACGAAAAGCCTCCATTGACCCCCCCCCCTCCAGAGGAGAAAAATCTTGGTTTGTCTACCCTTTCTCCTTTTTTTTTATTTCCAAAAACCGAAAGAAAGGACGAAAGAGAAAAAGAAAAATGCAAAGACACTAAAATGAAATAAAAAATAAAGATATATAATGTGGTTCAATTTTTTTTGTGTGGAAAATTCTGGGAATTTAAAGGACTATAATGAAACAAAAGAGAACATTTAAAGAACGTTAAAATTAAATGGAATGAACAAGAAAAAAAATGGAAGCAATCATATTTAAAAAAATCGGAAATACAGCATTAAGCGTTATATAGGCCCAGGACCCCCTCCTCTCCCCCTTTCCTCCTTTATTATATATGCACCCGTAAACGTAGGCTCAGACCCCTTCCCCTATACCGCTATGTGTTCTATGAACGTCCCCTGAGGTAGAGGACCTCTATAGTATAGGGAGAGTCAGCAACTCGCTGTATGTCGCTCTTTGGGCCCAAAAGGGCGAAAAATGGAAATCGCTGGGAAATTGCCGCTGCCAACCTATGCATTTGGAAGATTACTCAAAATGGCCGATAGCGCATTGCAAACAAGCGTCTTTTACCCTTTGTTGCATGAGCTAATCGTTGATTT